CTATGATCTTCGAAGAAAGCATTTCATTTTCGTTATGATCAAAGAATTTTTTTGTTACCTTTCAAAGAAAACAGGTTGTTACTGTTGATCCTTATTGCAAAAAGGAACAAAGTCCCACGAAGATCCCTCAACGCCATCTCCTCCAGGCTCTTTCATAGCGTGAAGGTGGGTTGCGCAGAGCCCATAGTGTGATACGTTCCGTCTATGATTATCATATTGCAAATTTGATATTTATATCAAAAATTGTGGGTTTGAAGAATTATGGATTTTACTTGATTGGCTAAAAATCCATCATTCTGACGAGATCAGATCATGAACAAATTTTATCGAACAATACTTATTAGAGATCGATTTGTATCGTTATCGTTATGTCATTTACTTCTAACGCCAAGTTTTTGAATAGGATGGAAGCTAAAATCATGTTTGTAGTAAATGCATCCAATATCGATACAATTACTACTGCGATGAATATTCAAAGAAAAAGATTTGCTGCAAAGCATTGTTTTTATTACCATTTGAAAGATTTACCATTGTTAAATACTCGTAAAGAGGTGGAACAATTTATAAAGCTTTTTTCACAAACACGAGTGGGATCATGAATCGAATGATTCGAGTAAATTACGTCGTAGTTTATAAACGAAAAAGTTGTTTGGATTAGAAACAAAAAAATCTATCTTTAGAAAATTTCAAAGATAGGTTCTGCTCTAAAGTGTTTCAATTGCTACGAATGAATATTCGATAGCGATAAATGAATTATGCAAGTATATTACGTAATTCCAACTACAGTAATTGAATTGGGTTCATTAGTTAATAGTTTACGTAAAATCGTGACTTGCACATTGAAAAATCTGATTGAGAAATTTCTGGAGTACTTTCTTACGAATCCAAAGGTGCTAAATGGAAAGTTATGCGCCCAAATATTTATAGTTTGGGATTTCATGTACGAGATTGTAACAGGTGAACGACCATTTGATAGGCGGAATCGAAATGTGTAACTTGTATACGACCCGACCCTTGGAAATATATTATTGCATGATATTGATCAAATTGCAGATTTTGGACTTACTGACCCACCGAATACTAAAATATATAATCACAAAATTTACGGAGTACTTCCGTATATTCGTCCAGAGATACTAAATGGAAAACCATACACTAAAGCTGCAAATATTTATAGTTTTTGGATGATTGTGTGCGAGGTTGTCACAGGTGAACGACCATTTGGTGAACGTAGTCATGATACACACCTTGTATGCGACCAAATAATATTTTCAGATGGTGCGAATTTATTATCGAAAAAGGTTGGGATCCTATTCCAGAAAACAGACCAACTGCTGACGAACTTTACGAATTTATCAACTCTATCTACAATATTAACAGTTTCATTAAGAGGGTATAACCGAATACTTTGCATTTTCAGTACTGTAACCCTTTAGGATATCCAAAAATGCATGAAGAAATTAAAGAGTCTTTTAAATTAGAGAAGCAGAGATTAGATAAACTTGATGAGGAAATCACAAAAAAATCATTTCTATGAATACGAACAAAAAACAGCAAATCCAATGCAATTTATTTTAAATTCAATTAACAAATATAATTAATTTGTTACAGTGATCTCGAAATCAACTGTGCAACAACTAAAATGGCCTCTATTGTTTATTCACGCTCTTTTCCACTTTAATGTATATTCAGCTTGCTTTATTCAATAGTATTTTTGTTGTTAAATGGTTACAGCATCACTTTATTCACATGTATTTTCGATCATTCAGTCAAATTTAATATTTGAATCCGCATAACCAGAGCTTTCAGAATTTATTACATTACCGTTACTCGCTGTAAATTTTAGAATGGTCTAATGTTTCACTGATATCTCTTAGTGTTTTATTGCCTTTCCACAGACCAACAATTTCTCGATGCTTTAACTTTGTAAGTGGTCTTTAGGTATTACTATAAATCAACTGACAATAGAAATCAAGATGCTTGATTGGGTATTCAAAGTTTTTTCTTTAAATTTTGCGAATATGGTACTGTAACTTCGAAAGTTGATAATAAAAACTAACCGGAAAGCTGGGCATAAAGTATAACGATAACGAAATTGGACGTTACAAAATTAGCGATTAAAGTTTGCTAATTTTTCCGATCGCCGAGCTTGTCCAGATACTTTTTGTATATTCTGAACACATTTAACTGGTTACAATTTGCCGTTTGCTCTTCATTATGTGACAACTTCATTTACCGATTGCTCTTCATTCTGAGTCGTTCTTAAAAGACGGACATTTCTATTTCTGTACGCGAGAACCACCAGTAAAAAATATATCTTTTTAAAAGATAAGAAATTAAAAAATTAAATGCTATTAATAAACATTCTAACGAAAATAATATTCTATATTTGCTTACCGAAATTATTATCTCAATAATCACAATAAGCATATATTGCCATAGAAATTTATAACCCAAGGTACATGAAGACGATGTACAATAATCGAGAAGCTGTTGTTTTAAAATGACAATTGCTACAATGCCGGTAATTCCCAATAGTAAGCCATTTGTTGTAATAGCACATGATATTTTTATATAGTTATTTAAACGTTGAATTTTGCTGCTCTAAAGAGCAATTAAGTATCAATAAAATTTAAATTACATGTATGTTTTACCGAAAACCTTACCTCGTTTGGTACTGTTAATACATAGATTGCACCAATTGCAACAAAGAATTCGAGAATTCCACTCGCTAAACTCCAAGCTCCCATAAATTGCCAAACTATCAAAATTATAATCAATTTAGAAAAATTAAAAACAAACCAAAGTTTGAGTCGTATTTTGAATTTAAAAACTTACAAGTATTAGAGCTTGTATTTCTTAATTGATAATTATTAAGACCAATAGTAATTTGATAAATCCCATCAATCTTATTGAATCATAAAAATGATATCCTTATTAATAAATGAATATAGAATAAAACAAACAAAATAAATGATTTTATTACGTAATAACTTACCATTCGCAAAATGCTTATAACTATTACACACGTTTTCAAACGAATACAATAGCATTGTTCCATTTGAAATCCTTCTACGACGGGTGGCGAAGTTCCTGTTTGACGATTCATAATTATCAATAATTAACGTTAATATTAACGACTAATAAAATGTGTTGATAACGATGGTAATAAAATCTTTTTCGATGTTTACACAAAATCTATTGCTATGTCCTACTTGCATCCGAATATGGAAGATTTACACGTATCATTTTTTCCATTCTAAGATTCGCTTAGACAAAAGCGGAAGATAAATGAATGTAACATCTACAGTCACAACGTTGTCACGTTACTATGTCCAGTAACCAGAAGTTACTGGACTGGACCATATTGAACTCATAAAATTAAGTCCAGTGGTCCAGTAGCTTAGTACATGTATTGGACTATGTCCAGTATGGTCCAGTTGACAACACTGGAATCATCTACGTACTGTACATTAAAAATTTTTGAATCTTTGTTTTTTATTAATTTGTAATAAATAACTATAGTATAATTATTTCAGATTCATTGCACCATAAATAATCATGAATACGTTATATCCCGGCCAGCCCGATTTTTATGGTGTAATAGGTTTTTGCCAATAAGAAATGTACCTTTATCGTTATAAATTTTTTGAGCGAAAAAATTTTAACGTTTGCAAAAACCTGAGGGTCTCTCAAGAGGTGATGATTACAAACTGAAAATCAGCTTTTCATGGTCTTTTTCTTAGGTTTAGTAACATTTAACTTAGAAAGGAAATATGTTTCGTATAATCAGAAAGCTACAACTTGCGAAATGAATCAATTATTATAGTTTTAAATCTATCATTAATAATTTATGACTTCAGTTTTAATAATGACTTGGCCCAAGATCAATTTTTACTCGATCTCTTTACCGTACCCGCTATTTAAAAGATGCTAATTGTTAGCTCTCGATATACGTAGTCGGTTACTTGTACCAATACGTTTCGACGATCCTCATAATTTTGGTAGGATCGGTTTGGGCCTGCATTATGGATCATGTTCTGTCTTTTAAACAATGCCCATATTTATTTCTCTCATAAACAATGCTTTGAATTATATCTTGTGTTCTCTTCAAATCGCATTTTCTTTATTTTTGTCATGCATTTGTGAATTATGTCGTATAATCTATCACCATCTCCTTTGTTCAATCTTAATTATATAGAAAAATAATACTACTACGTAAAACTCCAAAAAATGTATTTAATTAGAATTATTGCGTACAAGTAAATTAAGACTTGTAAACGCTATCGATTGAATTGACTGAGGTTAGGACCTTGATCCAGAAAAGGCATTGTTAAGAAGATCGACGACGGTAATCGATCTTGGTAAAGACGCGCGCGTTATAGCGATAGATGAAACCAATTAGATTTAGATATTATTTAAAGAAACAGACTTTTTAAATCAACCTACCAAAATCCAACGCGAAAGATGATATCCGTAGACATCGACACAGGCAATACTAATTATTGTTTAAGTCTTTTACTTTCCCAAAACCGCCATTTATAGGGAAGATTCTTGAAATTTAATTTAATTTATACAGTCAGATAGGTTGTCATCAGCGTTGTCAATTTACTATGTCCAGTCACCAGGAGTTACTGGACTGGACCATATTGGACTTGTAAAATTACTAAGTCCAGTGGCGCAGTATTGGATTATGTCCACTATGGTCCAGTTGATAACACTGGACTGGTTGTCATAAGAAACATAACGATAACATGCATTTGTCGATCCCTTAATCAATACGTGCAGTACATTTCCTCTGACCGTTATTATTTTCTTAACAATGTGCGACTTTTACGGAGTAAACCATTCATTGTTATTAATCGTTCAATAAAGATTCTTATTTTCTCTTTGTTCTCATTTCAACTATAGTTCCGAAAAGATTAATTCTGTTCTGGTTTTGGAGTATTCATTTGTCACTTTCAAATGAATAATATTATTGCCAACTTTGAAATACAAAAATGACGACCCGTTCCTTACCAACTACTTTATTAAGCGAAATAGCAGCACTTTTCAAAAACTCCGACGACCAAAATGTTTCTATAAAGGTCGGAAAAGACAATAATGTTAAAATTTTTACGGCACATTCTGTAATTTTGCGTGCGAGATCGCCATATTTTAAAGTTGCTTTGTCACAATCGTGGATTCGTCAAGAAAATGGCATCTTCTTGATGGATAAACCAAATATACGGCCAATTGTTTTT